GGAGTGGAATATTTTGGGAAGTCACCATCTAGATTGTCTGTGTGCACGTGCGGTGAGTCCTCTGTGTTTTTTAAATGGCTGACTTACCGATAAGACGTTGACTATGGCGTCATCGCCTGCAGTTCTTGCATGGCACGACACCGATTTGAATGGCATCTCTCTTCTTTTTGATTCGAATGCCCGCTCCACAAACTTATTTGGAAATCTATTTAGCATAATCCCCTTCTTCTCTACAATAAAAATATATCGCTTTGCGGATATTATTGGATGATTATATACTCGCAAAAACAATTCAAAATAAAAATACTATAGAAGCAGATTTCCGCATTAGTACTCTTTGTTTCATCGGCAACCGTTATAATAAGATATATATATATATATATATATATATGACGTTGGAGTTGTTTCTTATTTTCAACGTGATATCGTTAGGAACTTAGGATAGCTTTGTTCTCCCAACACATATACGTATATTGATTTGTTAGGGCCTTTTGTTCCTATTTGTAAAAATAAAAGAAAATGCAGCTCTGATGTTTGATTTTGATTTTTTTTTTCCCACATGCCCTTGCCATTATTGTTTTTATTATTGCCGTGCCAGTAATGAAATGTTTTGGAGTTTTGTTCTTCCTCTCTTTTTCTTTGTTAGTGTCCTTAGAAATTCAAGCCTCAAGGGGTCTTTTTTTTTTAGTCTTATTTTTTCCTCAAATTGAAATATACAAGTAAACGGCCTTATAAATCCGCAAGGGGTGGCAAATAAGGATTTCATCTTACTTTAATTAAATTAAATAATACAAATCTAAAACATTAATGTGCATTCTTTTTTTTAGACAAAGGTGATATTTAACATTATCAGCTTTACCCGGAAAAAAAAAAAATGATTGCGCAATCAAAAGTTCAACGTCAAAAAAGAACTTAGGCACTCCATCAAACAAACTTGAGTACATTAATTTAAAGGGGATACTATTTATACATCTAAAAAAAAGTTACAAAAAGGAAATAAGACTTGGGAAGAAACAAACGAATAATTGATTAATAATTATTTGTTGGTACTAAAACTAAACATGAAATGCTAATTGATGGGAAAGATGATGGGCTCGTCGACCTCGACCGACGATGACCTTTAGATGAGGACAAAACATTTGCATGATGATTTCAATTCGCATCTCCATCCGTTTTACAGCAAGTCTCCAGACAACTCGTTAATAAGTCTCAAAAAATGTAGTGACCTGACCTGGTTGTTTAATTTACATTTTTATTTTTAGTACGTATAATATATTGTGAGTAAATAACCAATTATTTTAAAACAAAAATTGTAATTTTTAAATGAACACATATCAAAATATGACATGGAGGAATAGTTTTAAAATTGGTTTAAATTTATGATGTAAGTTAATGCCAATAAGAATAATAGCTTAAGAAGTATAAATTTATGATGGTATAGGATAATGAGAGGGCATAAGTTTTTAATTTTTTTTCCTTCATGTAAGTTTTCTCATTATATAATGTAACAAGAGGAGCAGACCCTTTTTAATTGTGAAAAACCTACTAATCATTGAAGTCGAAAGGTTCTTTTCGATATAAAATCTTCTGTGATATTTGGTGTGATTGACATTTGACACACAAACACATTTTGTGTGATTGTGTAAGGTTATTTTAGACATTCCCTTTAACACTGGTTAAATGATTAATATGTGTTTAAATAATTAATTACTAACATTTTAACTAATTGATAAGTAAACTATGTTTGGTAAGTGATTAAATACATATAAAAAATTAAGTTAATATCTCACGGAGTGTAACCCAAATGTGTTATAGAAGATCTTTTGCCATTTATTTTCACATTCCGTAATGTCCGAAGATGTACTTTACTGGGAGAGCCGCATCAATCAAGATATAGGTTGATACTCTTTTTATTTCAAAATATAAGTTTTTTTAGACGTGGCACGTAAATTAACGAGACAATCATCTAACAATTAGTTTATGTATTAAATATCTTTTTTACCCCTCATTAATTACATTGAAATTATAAATAAGACTAAATAAAAATATATTACCATCATTTATTGAGAGTAAATTTAGAAAAATAATCATTAATTTGTCTAGAATTTGTAAAACGACCTACATTTTGAAAAATCTCTCCAAACCTAAAACGACCTATATTTTGAAATGGAGAAAGCAATTTGTAACGCTTACATTTAAGAAATTGCGACGCAATGATTCGCCTAATAACTACAAGTGACTAAATCCGAGTGTCGGCTAGTGGGTGATACACATAAACATCTCCTCCTCATGTTTCCAAAATACATATCAAATGCAGCCGAGATTATAACTATAGGAATGTAAAATCGCATTACCAACCATTAGATACCAAATTCAAGTGATATATATATATATATATATATACATGTATATATATATATATGTATATATAGAGGGATCGGAATTCGGGGTCCCCTTCACATTAATATGTAAGATTTGAGTAGAGATACTGTGGTCCGATTCTGAGCGCGAGGGACGACTTTGGCTGCACTTGATCCATCACCAACTCCCTCCCCCTATTTGTGGTTCCTTGTAATTCCATGTGGTCCATTGTTAACAACCGGAATCAATAACCGGCCGGTGATCGATCCTTTCCACGGATCACCGACGGTGGGGTTTATAACTTTTACGAGTTCTTGGATCATGATCAAAGAAAAGTTTGATTAAATGTGTAACAACAAACACTACAATCTATAATTAAAAAAAAATAAAATAAAAATCATAGATTAAAAAGTTTGCTTTTGTCTTGCTAAACATGTTTTTAGGTGTTGATGACTGATGATGATAATTAATTAAATTTCTTTGTCAAACGACAATATAATTAATTTACTTTGACACATTGTTGAAAATCATTGTCAACTAAATACTTAATCTAGTATGGATGGTTAGAATGTTTAGAACATGTCCGTGTTACATCTTTGTGACTATTGAAAAGAAATCCAGTCACATGTATAATGGTCCATTGTCCATCCAGTCTAGTAAATAAATGCAAACACATTATCTTTTATATAATAGAAACCAAAAATATGAATAAATATCTCATTAAATTAGGAATTAGTATGAATTTATTATCTGTACGTACGTGGCATGTTTTCTTTTTTTTTTATATATTTATTTACATGATGTCTCCCGTCCGTGGATAATACCGACTAATTTTGCCGATGAATTGGAGGTAAATATCGTATACTGTAGATTTACGGATTGGGGAGCAATTATACGCGGTAAGGGAAAAGTTGAAAGAACAATACAAATTGCAAACGGAATTGGAAAAGTGCGTAATGATTGAGTGAGCATTCATCCTGCCTCTCCCATTGTTTTTTTTTTTTTCTTTCATTATTTATTTTTTATAGGGACAGGACAGGTTTCGGCTAATTATTTAAGTTTAATAAGAAGCATTATTTACCGTTTGTGCACTTTTTTTTTTTCATAATAAGAGCCATGACGTTAATTATTTGTAGTGATGCATCAAAACTCGTCCTTGAACAGTAAATAAACCAGATTCATATTCAATTGTCACGTTCTTCTTTGAAGTAGGTCTCTCTTGTTTGTTCCTTCATTAGGATTTTTTAAAAAAATTTTATTTAATACTACTGTATATTCTCCATTCAAACATACTTTTTAAATTTTCAATATAACCTCTTACCTTTTTAATAGAAAAAACAAACACTAAAAAACATTCCAACATTAATTACCAATAAACTCTAATCAACATCATTTAATTCTTGATTTTTAAAAACATTTTTCCCCATTAACTCAAATGCATACCAAATTCTAATCTAAGTACTTGATATAATTGAACTCTATCCTTTCCACGCGCCAATGACCAATGGAAAATTTAAAATTTTTTGTTTCATCGACCCACTAAGCAGTACTACAACATATACACTCATGTTACTTGTAACATAGGGAAAAATGTGTATCAACTTTTTGTTGTATACCGAAAACACATTTATATATAGTCATACCGGGTCTGCTAATCACACATAGTGAAAAAAAAAAAAAAAGTTCGATAGCCCGACTTACGTCATGTATATGTTATTCACTTCCTTGTAAATTCAATACAATGTGATTATTTATTGCTATTTAAAAAAAAAAAAAGAAGTTTGCGGCCATTTGCAATTTTAGTGTATGCTCTTTAGATTTTCACTGTAACCATATGAAATTTTCTTAGTTTTAATTATAACAAGAATAGTGATACATACAGAAAAAAAATAACAAAGAAAATTTATAATGAATGATATGTCAAACATTTAAACTAGACTCTAACTTTAAATGTTTAAATCCGTATGTAAAGTTTTTAAAATGAATGGATGAAATCATTTCTTTGTCATTTTTCCTTGTACCAATCATTATCTTTATAACAAACATGAAAATAAGTCTTATTAAGATAAAAGAAGTTTTACAAGCACAGACATTCTTGTAAATATACTTGTATGGCGCCTACAATTTAGCGAGGGGATTAGTCACTGTTACCTGAACACCTTGCAAATATATATAAAAAAAAAAACGGAAAAAAATCTTACCCGCCATTAAGAGAAAATTCTTGCAAACATGATATGTCAAGATTTTTTTTCTTTTTTTTTGGTAAGAGAAAATTTTTAAGATGGGAAGAGATTTACCCGCCATTAATATTATATGATGTGTAATCATATCCACCAAATTCCTTGTAAGATTTCTTTCCTTCATTCCATCCTTACATACTCTTCTCTCATCAACCTCACTCATTCCCACCCGTGTGCTGCCATTAATGCCCACTTCTCTTTCCCTTTCCTTTTCCCTCTCCCCATCTGCCCTTCTCTCTCACATCTTTCACTTTCATTTTTTACCCAATAAATACACACACTCCCACACTTCTCCCTCTATATCTCTATCTCCATTTCTCCGTATATTATGTGATGTTTGTTGTCAAATTCATCTGATTGAAAAATCTCCACCCAAACCAAAAAAGAAAAGCAAAAGTGATGGGCTCCAACTCCATGGCCATCCTTCTCTACACTCTTTTATCCCTTTTCGTTTCCTTCATTTCCGTCTTCCTCTTCCGCCGGACCGACCGCCGTCGCCGCCGTCTCCCGCCGGGGAATCTCGGGCTGCCCTTTGTCGGAGAAACCCTCCAGCTGATTTCGGCCTACAAGACGGAAAACCCGGAACCGTTCATCGACGACAGGGTGTCTAAGTTCGGGCCGGTGTTTACAACCCATATATTCGGTGAGCCGACTATATTCTCGGCCGACCCGGAGATGAACCGGTTCATCTTGCAAAACGAAGGCCGGCTTTTCGAGTCGAGCTATCCCGGGTCGATATCGAACTTGCTGGGTAGGCATTCACTCCTGCTGATGAGAGGAAGCCTTCACAAGAGAATGCATTCGTTGACTATGAGTTTTGCAAATTCTCCCATTCTGAAAGACCATTTGTTGGCCGATATAGACCGGCTGGTCCGACTCAACATGGAGTCTTGGACCGGCCGAGTTCAACTCTTGGACGAAGCCAAGAAGGTAAAAGATAAAAAAAAGAAGAGGAAAATTTAATTATTGAATGATCCTGATTTAATCGACCCCACGTCGTTTGCACTTTTAGAGCATATAAGAAAATCTGGATTGATTTCTGGGTTTGTTTCAATGCATCCATCCATTGGGGGTTATGGTTGTTATCATATAGATTCACGTTTGTAGGGAAAAGAAAAGTGAGTCGGATTTCCATGGGAATTAGTGGGGTTTTATTTGTTCCGTTTCCAACTCAATGAAAACCGAACACCCACACACACACACACACACACACTGCTCATCAAAATACACACAGTCACATAGTAGTACTCGAACAATATCACTAGGATTACTAATTAATTAGGGGGTCTTGAATGCTTTTGTTTTTCTTTTTATTTTCTAGACTATATGGAGCACGAATCAAACATGTGCATGGGCATGAAGTAATTATTCTCTTTGCGTCTTGGGGCCTTCTTTTTTTAAAAAAATAAAAATAAAAAATCCATTGTTTAGTTAGTTAATTGAAGAAAAGTCATTTGATTCATGGTGGAAGCTTCTGTGACCATGATTGTAGTACTCTCCTTTTAAAAGTTTTTTTTTTTTTTTTTTTTGGGCTTTTGGATGAATTGCAGATTACGTTTCACCTGACAGTGAAGCAATTGTTAAGCTTTGATCCATGCGAGTGGACTCAGAATTTGATGAAGGAATACGTGCTGGTTATCGAAGGCTTTTTCTCTGTCCCTTTCCGCATTTTCTCCTCTACTTACAGAAGAGCTATTCAGGTATACCACATATATATACTTCTCCCAACATTAATTAATTAATTAATCATTATTCTAATATTTTTGTTGAACTAATGATTTTTTTTTTTTTATTGTTTGTGTTGATTAGGCCAGGACGAAAGTCGCGGAGGCTTTGAGCTTGGTGGTGATGGAGAGGAGGAAAGAGTGGGAAAATGGAGAGAATAAAAACGACATGTTGGGAGCTTTGTTCAATGAAGATGGAAACGGAGGAGGGTTTTCCGACGAGGAAATAGTTGATTTCTTGTTAGCTTTGCTCGTCGCCGGCTACGACACCACTTCCACCATCATGACTCTCGCCGTTAAATTCTTGACGGAGACACCCGCAGCACTGGCTCAGCTCAAGGTACCGTTTTTTTCAAAAGATTTTTTTTTACCATCTTCAAATAGGGTCCGACCAATTTCTTTGTGAAGGTTCAATGGTGAATTTTTATTTCTGTTCTGGAAAAATTTACCTTTTTGTACTTCCTGGCATGCTGGACCCCCCTTTTCTGTAATTGCTGGGTCCAGTTTGTCCCACCACCATCTTGATATGTTTGCTCAAATGGACAAGTGTGTTCGTGCTTTACCTTATCTAAGTTCCTATCATGAATAATTCTCGAGGATCATACCCCCCAAAAAAAAAAAAAAAAAATGTAAAGAAAATTGAAAGTACGAAGGATGTAATATATAGGACAATTATCTTATTACTCAGAACGTGGGAAAAGATAACAAATTTTTTTGTTTTGTATTGTAGGAAAACAGAGGATTGTTCATACGGTTTTATGGAGTTTGATTGAAAGATTTGAAATGAGAGTAATAGTTCATTTTGTTAATTACACTTTTCAGTGTGGTAGATTAGCCATAAGGAGTATCAATTAAAATAAAATAGGAGGAGAAGTCTAATATCAATTAAAACTAGATTAGCGTTACCCTAGACCCTAAACATAAATTGACTTTCTTAGGTTGGTTCTGTTACAATGATTGCTAGTTGCTACTACCATACATGTTGGTGTCTTGTCTGCTCCGTTTATTGATCAATATGGATCAATTTTAGCCTATATTGTTAAGAGAGTGCCCCCAAAAGATTCCACTAGGGGATGGTCTAGACTTTTTCAAAGCTTTATCAAAATCAACGTAGGATTTAAGAATTCGTTAATGATTTACTTGGCATTTTAACGAGTTATTATCATTATCAAGCTCAATCCCACTATTTGTTGTAATCTTCTTCTACAGTTCTACCTACCAGACAGTAATTAAGGATATTAGAGTTATCTTTCTGAAGGGAAAAATTAGCTTAAAAAGCAGCTTTGAAGGGGGTTTGGCAAGTCAAAGAAAACGAAAAGCATTGAGTTGGAAATTATAAGTAAACAGCATGATAAGAATAATAGTAGTAGTAAAGTAATAATGAGTGAAGTAGTAAAAAAAAAGTAGTGTTAGTCACTGGGTAGACCAAACAAAGGCAAAGCGGACAAAATGATGTGTCTGAACAAACTCGTGTGTCCTCCCTGCACCTGCACGCCCAACACCCTCTTTCTTTCTCAGATTAACTTTTCAATTTCCTCTATTTCTTTGTCTGTTTCATGTCCCTTTTGAGTTGGAGTTGCAAATTTTTACTAAGTCCCCTCTATGGAATATGGATGGAGCCTTTATTGAAAAACAAAGGTTTTGTGGAAACAGGGGTCATTTGCATTGAATTTTGCAGCTTTACTGACACTATATATTTGATAGATGTACTAGCAGATTTTTTACGTGAAAAAAGGCTGACGGAATCGTGTGTTAGTTGTTTGGTCTTGGACCAAAGGTTTCTGATTTTATCCATGGTGGGAATTGGAATTGAAAGGAGGGCTCTTGGGAAAAGTTTCTGGTTCATATTTCGAGAAAGTTTTTAAGTGCTGGTTTTGTAAGTTTTGACGGTGGGAACTGGGAATAAAAAGCAATTACGGCGTTTTTATTAATCATACGGCGGTTGTAATTACTGTAGCCGCCGTAGTTGCCCCAACTAATTGCTGGCGAACATTGAATACATAATTGAAAATGGTCAACCCTTAATTTGATGGACAGGGAAATTGGTTCAGTCCCTAAAGAAAATAGTAAAAAATCCACTCTTGGAATATTCACATACTACTACTAAATCCTGAAGCATTTTTTTTTTTTTAATAAAAAAAAGAGTTTTTTATATTTATCTTTGTATTTGTGGGTGGCAGGAAGAGCAAGACGAGATCAGAGCAAGACTCGGTAAAATGGAGGGTCTGCAGTGGGAGGATTATAAAAATATGCCTTTCACTCAATGTGTAAGTTGGAGATAAGGAGGCTGAATTATATTAGTAGGCTTATTATTAATAAGGGTTGTGTCCATTTCAGATCAAAATTGAAATGTTATTGCTCTTTCAGGTAGTAAATGAAACTCTTCGAGTGGCTAATATCATCGGTGGAGTGTTTAGACGAGCGACTCAAGACGTTAATATCAAAGGTGAGCAATCTTGGAGCCACTTTTCATGAGATAATTGCTGCGTCAAAACTGATTTCATTTTAAGTGATCACCGAGTAGCTACCAAAACGAATGATAACCCGAAATGTGATCTCATTCAAGCAGGTTACGCAATTCCCAAGGGGTGGAAGGTTTTTGCTTCCCTGAGAGCCGTACATCTAAACCAGGACAATTTTAAAGATGCTCGTACTTTTAATCCCTGGAGGTGGCAGGTATTCAAAACTCGTCCTCTCGTTTCAGTCTCTGCTCCAGAAGTTCACTTAATCAGATTAATGAACCTCCAATCCCTTCTTTATTGCAAGCAGAATAACAGCAATACTGGACCAACCTCCCCGATGAATGTATTCACACCATTTGGTGGTGGCCCGAGGCGTTGTCCAGGATATGAACTTGCCAGAGTAGAGCTCTCAGTTTTCCTTCATCACATAGTTACTGGTTTCAGGTGCGAAATTCTTCTACACTTGACAAATGACATCTTTCCTTCTTTCCTTTCCTCAATTTTATTTCCGGGATCACTGGTTCCTCATCAAGCTGTAATGTGTGTGGTGATTTGTGTCTAATCAACTCTTACCTTTGATCAACAGTTGGGTGCCTGCCGAGCAAGACAAGTTGGTTTTCTTTCCAACCACAAGAACACAGAAGCGCTACCCGATCATCGTTCAGCCTAGGGATATGTCATCCTTCAGGCAATGTAAAGATAGTATAGAGGCAAAATAGAGGGAAAACTATGGGTATCAGAGATTCTAGCTAGGAGAAAAAATTATCAGTTAGCAATCTATAATGGATTCAATAAGCATGATCAATTTATAGGGCAGCGCATTCTTTTTCATATAGCTACTCGAGCTTCTTGATTTTTTCAAAGAGAAGACCAAGGCTAAGGAAACAAGATGTAAAGGGAATAAAAAGGAAGGTGAATACTGTACCTACGTACTTAGTTCCATATTGACTGCGCTCTGCAAGAGTGCATGAAAGCCATCAGAAATACCATGCCAAAATAGAATCTACAACAGCAGCCAATATGTTTCAAACTCTGGAGCCAGAATAACAAACATAATCATCCAGGAAACCCAAACATGCGTAACCTCAGAGAGTTCTGTAACAATTAGACGGCATTACGTGATAAGTGATTTGTTTGTTAGCTGATATTTTACGAGACTAATCCTACAAATCTGCACCTGATTTTTTCTATCCTAGCCTCTACAAAATATTGGTGTTGTAGAAACGCAGTTACTCACATAAGTTATACAACAAATACTTTCAGTGATCACAAAAAGTACAAGGCGAATGCAAGGTCTCTACTGTGGAGCCTACTTCCTCGGGAGTCCAAAAATGGCGGTAGCTTGCAAAGCAACAGCCGAAATTCCATAATGTTGTTTCACTCCCCTCAACTTCAACAGATCCTATTGATCCTTGCTTAAATCTCGGCGACTCAAAGCAGACTCTATGAGTTTTGCTTTCTTCGTGTTCTCATTGTTGATGAGTGAAAGCTTTGACATAGAAGATTTGAGCAGTGATATTTCATCTTCTTGGACATAATTTGCCCTCCTTCCTCTCCTCTGACTCTGTTTATTCATTAGCTTTGCCTGTGGAGAACGAGTGAGTCTTCTTAGCCTTGCGTCCAGAGCTTCAACTGTCGATCGCAAGGCATCCAGCTCCACGCCAGTGAATCGGTCTGCACACATAGTTAATGATATTCAGCTCGTGAAGGTGTTATTCAAGCATTAAATAAATGAAATAACTTACCAAGCTCCGATTTAAAATCTCGCTCGGCTTTTGACAAAGGCTTCTTGAATAGCCCACGCAGATTTCTTAATTTGAGTAGGCGCTCTTCAATGGCACTGTGTCGCTGAATTGCATGGGTAATGCGACTGTCTAACTCTTCCTGTTTCTCCTCAACTTGTAGAAGCTTTTGCTCCACCTTCTGCAGACGAGAGTGCTGGTCATCTATGATTTTCTTCACATGAGGTGCATGATGCTGGAGTTCAAAGTGTACCTAAAAGAAAACTCACAATCATCAGGAAAAGTGACGCTAAGAAGGTTAAAAAAGACTACAACTACGGTCACAAAATATTACACGATCACAATAATTCATGTTCCAGTATTCAAAGGCCACTATACCCGTAGCAAAAGATTCTGAATCAATAAAGCTCCAACAATTAAAGTGGAAGAACGGAAAGATCCTGTACCTTGAGAGCGTACTCCATATAGTTTTCATGAAAGATCTTGAAGTATCGATGAATAACTGATCGTCCATCAATAGAGTCAGCAGCAACAGAGCGTTGATCTGGTGAAGAAGGTGGTAAAACAACTATCTTAGGACCCGCAAGTAGATCCTTGCTAATGATAGTTGGAATCTCAGTTTTTTTCTGTTCATCATCTCCTGAAGAGTCTTTCTCCTGATCAAGCACACAAGGAACCGATAATTTCCAGGTCTCCATTTCCGACACAATGCATTCTCGGGACTGGGTAAGTCCAACAATCCATGAATCTCCAACTGAATCTGCTAGAGACAGGAAACCACAAATTGGAAGTGGAGAGGATTCCCCCTGGCAAGAACTGATCACGGGATGCACAGAAGGATTTCTCGCCCCTTCCTTGCCCATAGCCTGATTAGTGAAAGGCAAAAAGTGCAACACAATTGCATCAACACCCCCATCATGAAGGCAATATATCCTTTCCGGCATAAGATTATCAACATATAATGATATGCAAGAACCACCTTTTCCTGGCAAAGCGAGATCAACAACAGCCAACCTTAAGAGGGGAGGTGGATGACCCAACCAAACTGAAGTATCAAGGCTTAGATCAGGCTTCCGGTCACCTAGATCACTGGAAACAGATTCACAAATCATAGCCACACCAAGGATACGATCAGAAGAATCGACAAAGAGACGAGGAGGGCAACCATCTTTCCAAACTGGTTGAATCTCGTCAGCCAGGGCATCTATCTGAAGCAACCCGCCGCTCCATGCCGAAATCAATAACGAATCCTTGCCAACTAGATTATAAAGAAAACTAACTGCATATCCTTCACTTTCAGCATCCTCTATTTTATCGCTTTCCTTTTCACTGTTATTCATATTACACAGAGGCCCCTAACACATTATTCAATATTCTTAATTAGCCAAGAACAAGAAGCAAAATCCTTAGGTTATCAAATAACTTTACAAATAATCTGCACATCTTAGAAGGTGGACTGACAAAGGTAAACCTCCAACCAAAAGAAAGCCAGTTAATTGAAGATACCTGCAGCAATAGAGAAGAGTCCATAAAAGCATAAGGCTGGGCTTTAAGGGCGAATGAACCTCCACTTTCTGTGGCTTGCTGAGCTAACTGAGGAAATGTAGCTTCCAACCAAGAAATTGCCATATTAGAGTTCCTAATGGCTTTTGAATTTGAAGACTTTAATCCAAATGTGTGGGCATCGCTATGCAGTTCTAGTAAGGTTTCCCATCTGTATGTACTGCATATAGCAAAAACATTGAGTTTTAGCTAATAAAGTAACTAAAAGAGGGAAAAAGGTGAAACTTAAAAAACTCCATGTTGAGAAATGAACTCTTTTAAGATGTGTCCAATCATATCAGAGATATTCAGATGTTAAATTTCTCGCATTGAAACCTACATTATTCCTTGACCTAATTTTCAAAATTATTTTATAACTTTTTAATACCAAACAAGCATATCTGCTACATGACTTGTGGTGCTTTAGAAATGAACAACAGGAACTTGTTAACCTCTGGCATATTAACACCAAAAGTTCAAGAGAAAGAAGCAATCACCTTCCAAATGGAATAACCGGGCAAAGGACATAAACTGATCCATCGCTAAATAGAACAAAAACCTGTAGAATGGAAGAAAAATAAATCCAAATGTGGAAGAAATTATGAATTTAGCAACAAGTAACAAATTGAAAACCTCAAATTCAATAGCCAATGATCATCATGACCAGCCAGGTATTAGATAACCAGAACATCATTACGAAACAGAGTTGTTAATGGATAATAACTAAAGTAAAAAACAGGTAGCAGAAAACAGGAACCATAATCAATGTCAAAAAAACCTCGAGTGCTAGCAATTGATCTTCACCAAATAGTTGGAGACCCATAAAATGTCCTTCAACATCATTTACCGATAAAGAAACATTGTATAATTTAAACAAAACAAAGGAACTCTAAAAATCTCTAATGAGGTAATGATGCAGCACCATGGTCAGACCTTTTGGCGAGGGAGGGAATTAATTACGCACACAGGTAAATTGCATACACCGAAACATTCATCCAGTTAAAATTCTAACAATTTAGATCACCAGTTCTGCATTGATTTTCTAACTATTAAGAGGCCATCTACGTCAATTTCATTTGAGTTTCACTAACTTCTAATAATGCTGTATGGTGTCAGACTAAACTTACACTGAACCTGTCCCACAAATGATTTCCACCAAAAGAGAAATCAACAGGACAGATTGATGAAGCTTTCAGTAAACTTTTAGGTTCTACAGGTTGCAAGTAGTACTCCTGCTCTGGTTGCTGAAGAGACTCGGACAAATTAAAAAGTCTGCAAAGAAGGTAAGCAAAAACAGTCACGCTGAAAGATACCAGATGAAAGAAGAAGGTTACTCTTAATGACTTCAAAACAATTCAATAAAAATACCCCCGTCAAAAGGGAAAATATAAGATTCTTAGGTTGTACATTATTTCATAAAGCAAACATTTTAGTTCAGAATGTCCCCATACCTAGAGTGTTTAACAGATCTAAGGATATATCTTCACCAACTAAATCAAGATAACCATTCACATGAAAATGAATTCCCGCACGAGCTCATCAATTTAAAAGTTAATGCAAGAAAATAAAAGGATAAAAAAAATATATTCAAAAGCCATATTAGCAAAGGGGATGTGAAGTGAAATGTCAAGTCTCTGAAAATCCATTAGCCAACTAATGGACAATAGAAGTGAAGTAACAGAAAATTTGATACCTAAAAACTGAATCAGAAGAAAGGATCCCAATATGTGTGTCACTGCAAGGATGCCAACAAACTTGTAACAGGCGTATCAGGTTGTTGCCATCAAAGAATATATCCGACCCGATTGAAACAGTCCTGCAGTATGGGAAACGTTTTAAACACAACAGAGACAACTTCATCTGCTTCTGATAGCATGCTGAAAAATTAGAATAGTTAAAGTAAATTGACCAAAATAGAGGAAATAAGTGCAATCATCTTATTATAAATATGTTATTTTTTTCAAGAGGAGATAGATGCAATCCTCTTCTGCGAAATCATAAAATCTAAAAATGCTAAATCTTCCATCATAGTTTCTATCATTTGAATCATTTGTAAACCATTTAACCAGCCAATATCGTTAGAAGATCAAGGATGTTCTAGATGAGGATTTCCAATGAATTTTAATTTAAGACAACCCAATTTCAAAATTTTTTTTTCCTTTCAAACGAAGAATTCAAACTAAACTCTTAAGCTAAATGATAATATAGAAAGTTTAAAACACAATGCAGGCATTTCGAAAACTTTGACCAAGCTGAGGATTCAAACCAAACAAAGACGAATAATCTTTGCATCGAGATGAAAAATAGGCGCATACCGGCATATAATAGCACTTTGTTTTGACGAACTCCTTCCAAACAGATACATAACACATAGTCTCCCCACGCCAGATAAGAATATTGCAGATCCATTTCTGTTAATGGAAATCTTCTGCACATCATAATCAAGCTGCTTATCTGGCTGCAATATCTGCGGAAAGCAAACCAAAATGCTTTCATGTACAATACCAAGAGACAAGATTAATATAGTGATGAACATAGGATTTCTCTCAAAAGCAAAATCAAGTTAGAAAACACAGAAAAAATTCATAAAGCAATCAAGTCCCAAGGCATGAAACTATAGCTGTAAGCCCTCAGTAAAATCAATCATAAGGTATACATGAAAATGAACTAGCACGATTACTGAAATCTCAGAATATCTTTCGATGGATAGAAGGAAATCAGACGAGCTTTTACTAGCCTTGCGATAGTTACTAAAGCTTTGTCTTGGGCCAAAAAAAAACAAAAGAAGACAATGATCAAAAAGTGAATAACCAATCAACCGGAACTCGATGGGCACAGACAAACGGGAGCAAGAAATATATAGAGGAAACCACAAGTATTTCGTTGCATATAAGTAAGCAAATCAAATGCAGAGAATAACAGGAGGAAGGGGACCTTAGAGGGAGAAGCAGCGAGTATGGAACTAGAATCCGGCCCCCCCAACTTAATGGCAATCCTATGGAGACAGCGTCTGCTGGGGTCCCAAAAGTAGAGGCGCGAAGCTCCATCCCAAGCTAAGAGATTAGTTTGAGTTTTGGTGGAAGGAGGAGAAGGAAGAGCGCCACCGTCAGCGGCAGAGAAGACCGGATGGTTCTGGAGCGGAAGCCATTGGACATCTTCGGCTGGAGTGGAAGTAGACGGCGGCGTTGATTGTCGACCGTCATCGTTTGATCCTGAAAAGTCGAAGTTGAACCTCATTCTAAAACCTCAGTCGTCGTTTCCCACGCCTCTGGTTTCAATGCAAGTGTTCTTATTAACCCAAAATAAAAGGGGTTCCTCGCGTTACGAGTTACGACGTCGTAGATTCATACGCCGGTGGTATGAGCGCGCTAATTTTTGCCCTAAGGCTGTGTCTTGATTTGTGGTTTTCAAAGGAAAAATCAATAGATTTCAAAAGAAAAATTACCACGGACAAACAATAAATTTAACCATGTATTCCCTTTCTTTGTGCAAATTTAAATTTTTAAACTTTTGATAATAAAATTCTTTTTGGTACAATAAATTCATATCATTAATATCTTATGGAACGTTTTCTTCAATTTCCTTCCCTTATTTTTTCTTCGATCTCTCCATATTCCAAAATGAAATAATTATTTGTACTAACACACTCTCATTTTTAGTTAAAAAGGATAGTTGATTTTTTCCTCCTTTTTTTTGTATATAGTTGCCTTTCTAATGCCTCAGTCCCAAAATTATTATGCTCACTTTTAGTACAATTTGAACTAAGAATAAAAATCTTAAAATTGATTAGGAATTGGTATTGTAATAATCAAACAATTACAAAGGCAACACCGGCATATCTGTTCTAATTGGTAATTATAATAATGACATACCCTGATTTTAGTCTCATTATGATGGTGACAATTGGTATTCACAAAACTCGAAACAATTTGGAGTAGGAATTGGAAGGGTGCGCCAGGCCCGCGCAGTAGTGCAACGCATGGGCGACGCTTGACGGCCCAGGTAGCAAGCTACCCTAATGGACCATCCCCAATGAAAAATTCATTTAATATCGTGTGGGCCAATGGCCCACGTATCAGATATTAAACTGATAAGAACAGATACTACACTTGATCTTAGCCAAAAGGCCGAGAAAGGTATGCTTGGATCATTCTTGGAAGAGCTCATATATAGCACTGTTCAGTTCCCCTTTGTTAAAGGTGATCCGATGTGGGAACTAACAACCGTCCTCCATGTGCCGCCTTCCAGGCAAATATGAACAACACCTTACAAATTTTAATCCAGAATTGGACCCAATAAAACGTCATATCTCCATCACAACGTGTCTAATATTGAAGGTATTGGAGACAGTAGAGATTGCGATATTGACTCGGAATTTTCGATGCTCGATCTCTGAGAAACATTTGGGAATGGATCTGTTTGATAAAAATTAGTGTTTAATTTTAAAGAGGTAATACTGAATTAAAAATATTGAAGTCATTAAGCAATTGCCAAATAAATAATAAATTTATTATTGATTATGTTTTGTGTTGCAATTTCAGTACTTAATTCATTAAGAAATTCACCTTTTATTATCAAATGTGCTTAAACAATAAAGTATTTAATTAAATAATTTTAAACATTAAATGGCATTATTAAATAGGTACTTATTAATCTTGAAATTTACCCAACCTCACAAATACTATACCATAAACTCCTCGACCAAGTTTGTTATGATAAACACTTGTTAAGATTTTATATTGATTTATAAAAAATCGCAACATTTGAACCAATGATTGGAACATGGGATGGGAAAAAAAAACCAAAAAAGAACTGTACAATGTCAAAACTTCTCCTAAATAGTGTCTTTTGCCTCTATGATTTTACTAACTGAACGACACGTGCCATTACAGTTTTTTATACACACACCTATATATTTATGATGATCATATACAGTGTATCTACCACATCCATCGAACAATTTTGTTTGCTGGACTTCAGATCTTTCCTTCGGATGACCTGTTTACAAAAGGGCACAGGTCCAGTTAGAATTCAAAGCAAGCACATGGCCAATGATTTTAATCCATTTGTATTGAAGAAGTCTGTTTAAAAAAAAAGGATTGATTGAATTGTTACCTGAATCTGGCCGAAAGCTTTGGAGTTAAGGGCAATAAAATAAAAAGAATTTGAAGAGAATCCATGTGTTAAAATTACACATCTCTATTTCACTCTTTCAATCTGGAGTAACTTTTGGTATCTAGGGAATCCATTCTTGCACGCGGAGACCTGCAAAAAAAAGCAAATATGTTAACATCGTTAAATGGTTAAAACTGACCCTCAAAAAAAAAGAAAGATGGTTACTTTTGCTTACCCAAATGGCCTAAAAGAAAATTCAGCAAACGAATCATCAAACTTTTAATTTAATGCACCAAGTTTTAGTTGGAAATGGTCCAATACTGGGGTTGATGGGATTGATTCTTCTGTTCAAGTGTGTTTAATTTATGCGCCCCTTATGATGATAACTCAAATTGGTCCTATTTGAGTTGTCATTAGCCACTTTACAATCCAACTTCCATTTACAAAAATCTGGTTTTTTTTTTTGGTGGTTTCCGTTCTGTACCAATTTGATATGTGCACTAACTACTAACTCAAGGCCCCATTCTCATTCATAATTCTTGAACAGAATATTTCAAACAACTAGAATCTCGTTCGTATTAACTATACAACCCCACACCAGATCATCTGGCTGAAAAGAAATTAGACTGCAGGACAACAAACAGTATGGCAATATGGCCGTTTTCCATAAAGGGTCCCAGCCAGGATAAATTTCCAGCTAAAAATTCTGATCACCTCATAAACTTTTTCATTGGGTTAGATATGATGATGATGCAGTTGAAGCTAAAAAGTTGGGTAATTAAGTCCGCTTTAAACCAAATACAGTATACAAGTTGTAAAATGATGATGGGCTTGCAGATAACATTTGAAGTTAATGATTATCTTATAGATTTGATTTTAAAGTGTTTCATAAATTAGTACAAAGCTTCCATCATCATACGTAACAAAAGTACACAAGGACTAGGAAGTTTCTTTTAGATGCCTTATCGTTATTGTCACATAGCAGTAGATATTTCTCAGAAGCCTGTAATATTTTCAACAACTCCTCAATTTTTAGACAGACTTGTAAAAAATATTGCTATAACTCTTTATTGTTTCATTTCAGATTGAAATTAGAATAGTAGATGTTATAACTCTTAACGAACAAGATTGGAGTTGCTTACGAATTATTAGAATAGTAATTTCTATGCGAATTTATTCAGATCTCTATGCAAATTGATTGTACTTGTCTTACACCTAAAACAATGATCCGGCTGCCAGGATTGGGTCAAACTTTGGATTTCAAATTCGGCCATCTAGAAGACTAACGCAATTTTATTTGTCTATTTTAAATGTCAACTAAAATTAAAAGAAATGCCAAGGAATTTCGTTTATTTGGTCAGCCTGATACAGCGAGTGGGCCCCGCCCCAACCAAATTGCAGAACAGTTGCAATTCATTCATTTATTTATTTAGCAAAATAATTAAGCCATAATAATCACACCTCATAAAAACCCGAATAATAATCACACAGCATTAAAAAAAAAAAAAAAACCTTCGAAAAAAACTCCATTTTTGTCAAATATGTTGATTAGAAATTCAGAGTTACCCTCACTTATCTCCTAACTTCATAACATCACGAGTTTTGAAAATTGCTGGAGTTAGAAACACTTCAATGAAGTTAAATATGATTGAATTTCACCATGACCCTGTTTCGCTAAGGTTCCGTTATCTCTTTATTAGTTCACACTGATCATTCACAATGGATCACAGATATAATTGAATTCGAAACAAAACTTAAGAAAGAAGGGGGCAAAAAAAAAAAGGGTTGTGTTGACTTACAGCTTCGACATCAATCTTGTAGACAAGAAGCTTCCTCCTCTCTCTGCAACTTGTTCTGTATGCCACCACGATGTGCCCAATGGCTAGCCCCAATGAACACGCAAATAACGCAACTTCCATCCCACCAACATACTCTCCTCTCTCCATTGTCATGCTTGCCTTGTTCCCAAACACGAATGAAGCCTTCAACGAAACGAATAACAACGAAGATACTGAAAACATCGTTGCAATTCCCAAGTACGGACCCCTCGAGAGCTTCGGTCCATCACACAAACTGTAAACACCTAGAACAATATAAAGAAGACCAACAATTTTTTAGTTTTTTTGATTAATTCTAACCCGGAAAAGTAAGTAAAAAAAATTTGTTGGATTGAAGTAATTGGGAGTATATATGTATATACTTACAGAGAATGACAGCGGACCTAATGATGGAGATGAGTGGTATGTCGATGACGGAATACCGGTAATCGTAATTGCTTAGGTGAGACGAAATACTCCGTAGAGAAAGGGATGAAGGCGAAAGGGAAGCCGACAATAAGGCCGACGGGAGGACTGCGTCGGCGACGACCACCAGAATCGGCGCTGAAAATACCAGCAGCGACAGAAGCATGGTGATGAGGAAAAACAGAGTCTTTACCCATCTCAACACTTTCTTCGATTTCTCCTCTTTTGAAAACACCATATTTGCCAGCAAAACTAATTTCATCACTTTTGCGATTTCCTAATCCTTCTGTAACTAACAAATTAAGCAGACCCAATTGGACTAGGAAAAAAAACAGCCTGATTGAGCCTATAATTTGTACATGTATATATGTAGGAAAGAACAGAGAAAAAGAGATGAAGTGAAATTTGGAATTGGGAGGAAGATGCAAATTGGGGCAGAGAAGGAAAAAGAGGTCTTATAGTAAGGTTCGATGTTTTGACTGTTTATGAAGCTCGGGACAATGACTCGGAGGATTCATAAGTTCATAACTTTTTATACACGCGGAAGCTTCTGGTCAAAATTTGGGCAGTCTCTTCTGAATTTTCTTTTTAATTTTTTCTTCCCTGTTTTCTTGTTTGAATTAACGGCTAATACTACTATACTATAGGTCTTTACCTAATTAATGTGAAATTCTTAACGACAATTAACTGCATCCATTATTTATGTTTTACTATAAAATTAGTATTTGTTGTTTTATTTATGTGCACAAGTTTATAGTTTCAACCTGGTTTGGCTTGACATTCACACATTGGACACATGTGCAGTTTAGGGTACCATGTTGGGTTTTGTTTGAAATTTCCGAAATCACATTGGATGATTGGTGGATATCCTTTGAGTGTTTTGCCGTCTAGAAACAATAGTAAGCAAATTTAGACAATAATATATTCTTGAGTAGTAGTAAGCAACTAAATTTGGACCCTTTTTTTTTTAACTCACTTCTGCAACAATTGAATGTTTGACTTTTACAGTCAGAGTTTTACCGATCAAAGTTAATTTTTAGAGTTCATAAATTTACTTTGCAAAATGGTACAATGTCATCGCTTTCATTACCACTGTTCATCCGATTGTATGATTGAAGAAGCATTTCCATTTCATCATATTCTTTCTGTCTAAGAAAAAAAAAAAAAACAATACGTCCAATCTGCAATTTCATATTTATTTTCCGATGTACCACATACCAAATCATCCTTAAATTTGTTTAGTACACATCTTTTCACTAACTCCTAAAAAAAAAACCAAAATGTTGCAAATACAAATTAAGAAATCAACAACCATATATATTAATGATAACAACAATGAAGCTTTTGTATTTCCTTCACCTTATAATGCAATAGGTATATGTCCGATCGTATTACCAGTGAAAAGGGCTTAATGACGTTATCACATTTCTAAGTAATTGGATAATTTCACTCACTCTATCATTTTTTTAAGACAAAATTATGATAATTCGGAATCTTCTCTATAATCAATCAAAGTAAGCCGCCAACTTAAAAGAAGGGATAACAGACATGCAATTCATCATCTAATCATGTTTACCAGCTAGAGTGATCACCAACCAGATAGTTGCATTATGTGTGGCTTGTTTAGGATAATCTAGAGTATTAGCTGATGTTTGGACAACTTTTTATTCTAGTTTTCAATTTGGATTTGGGAGGAAATTTAAAATGTAGTTTAGTGGTAATTTTTAGAAAGTATTATAGTATAGTGACCATTTTTTAAAAGTGAGATAGTATGGTGACCAGACATAAAACTTTACAATAGTTTAATGACCAAACTTAAAATTTTATAATAATATAGTGACCACCGCCACTAAACTTTACAATAGTTTAGTGACCAAACTTAAAACTTTAAAATAGTTTAGTGAGCATCGGTACTAAACTTTACAATAGTTTAAAAGGTAAATTAAATTGATGTTTGAATAGTGTATTGGGATTTGTGTTTAAGAGGTAAAATGAGACAAAAAGTAAAATGAAACGACAAACAAACAAGGCCTTAACTATGCAACTATGCTTTATAATTGCTTGAGAGTATCATTCCTTGTGACCCAAACTTTTTCATTTGTATTTTTTTAAAACTTGATTGAATAATGAAGCGGGTATGGTGGAACCGACTGAAGCCAATTCATCCATGTGGTCACATGTACCAACATTTTGTCCTCCCGAATCTATAGTTAGTATATTTGTATTATTTTTTTGGGTAGTAATTTTAAATGATTTTGGTTCTTGTTTATTAATATAATGTTGGATGTGGAGGAGTTGAGGACAGATTCCTCAGGAGGTTTGATTCCCGCGCGCCAATATGCATACTCTCTCTCATTTTTGCATTTGCCGTCTTCAAAGTTGTATGAACACCAAGTTATTTAAACGATAGCCAAATGGAAATCGAATCATTCGGATTTCTAGCAAAATGAGGAAAGTGTAAAGTGTTGGATCGGCAACTATTTCTTCGTCCAAGTGTCAACTGCAGTCCTAAAGCCTCCACAAGACCTCTTTCTCCTTCTTCTCTTTTTCTTTTCCCTTTTTTTTTTTTTTTGGGGGGTGGGAGTGTTAATTTTGGGAGGTCAAACAACACACATCTACATAATAAACAAATAAATTAACAAACCGGCAAATATTGAGAATATGTTTGGGTGTGAAATCGATAATTCGCAGTATTAAAATGGTTCCTTTTAATTTAGGCCAATATTTATTTATTTTTTTTTTGGTGCAAAGGGTTCTAGAAAAATGGAAACATGGAATGGAAGTTCAATGGAACAGTAAACTGTGACTGCTTAAGTTATGGAAGTTCTTGCTTTCATTTTCCGGTAGGGAGGTGGATTTTAAGCATCATGGATGACGAGTTAAGTGATGGAGTTCAATTTTTGAGCGTTGAGATATGATGCAAGCTCAATCCATTAATAAATTCAATTCTGCTTTCATTGAAATCTCGAAGCATGTACCGTGTCATGGCTTAGGTCATAGGTTAGAAGAGTACTACCTGCTTAATTAAATTTTATGACGCTATTTTTGGGCACACTTATTCGCTTGGGATCATGACTACTTTGCACTAGCCAACAAAAATACTGATCTTGGACCAGTAAATATCTACCAATAATTTAAACAAGTCATTTTTCCCCTCTAAACATTTCCTGTATTTTCATTGTGCACAATTGCACATTATTTTATTGCGCTAAAACCATGGCATAAGTGAAAAAACGATGGAATTGGCTCAGTTGATCCCATCAGCTTAATTAGATTCATATAACCTGTACATTTTCGATGTCTAAATATATTAGTATTTTTTAGTATAAGCTAAACTTGTAAATTTTAAAGTAGTCGTTTACGACCTTTTTGCCTTTTTTTTTCCCGCAATAGTAGAAGGTTTTATTATTACTGTCCACTCTCACTATTTTATGAGGCTGACTTTTTAACCATTTGCTAGGAGTGATTGAAAACCCAAGACAACATAACCATTCAATTTGTTTCATACTAGTACGTAATACTGTTTTGTCACTTTTAATGGAGGATACTAATCCAAATCATGTATAACGCCCATTATTAAGTGCATGCATATTTTGACTTATTATTATTATTATTATTATTATTATTATTATTATTATTATTATTATTATTATTATGTGATGGCCAATCTAGAAGTAGAATATTAAGGTATGTAAATCAAACAGTGAGTCAGTGAAGATATTATATCCGGCATGATTCTCTTGGAGTCTCTATCCAGTATATCCGGGAGTACCGTACTCTCCCTCCTATTTTTTACACTACTAGTCTTTACTATGCTTTTTTCCATTTTTCTAAATAAAATCCTATAATTTACAGGTTTAGTCCCTTTAATTTTGTTCTCTCTCTTTTAAAAGACATCTCTAATTTTTAAACGACCATATCTCATGATCTGTAAAAAATTGGTTTGTATGTCTATCGAACTTGTTTGTAATGGATATCCTACTTGTTTGTACTGGATATTCATTTGGTTTGTACTGGATATCCAACTCATTTGTACTGGATATCCATCCGTTTGGTTTTTCTTTTTATTATTATTTTTTTGAAAAAAGAAGTGGTTGTCCAACGCGTTCGTATTGATTATCCGACCATTTTTTTTTCTCTACTCTTTGTGAAGATCCTTGTCCAATTTTTTTGTACTGACTATCCAACCGTTTTGTATGCCTTATCCAATCATTTTTACTGATTATCCAAACATAATTTCTCTTCTTTTTTTTTCTTCTTTTGAGAAAAAATCTGTTCAATGTGTTCATACTGATTATCCATCCGAATTCTCGGTGATGGATGGTTATCCGGCTTTTTTTTTCCTTGCTCTTTTAATGAAAATGATTGTCCGACTTTTTTGTACTTGTTATCCAACCAGCTTGTACTACTTATCAATTATTTTCAATGATTATCCAAATTATTTGTAATACTTGCCTAAATATTTTATTTTTTATTCTTTTATTCTTTTTTGTTTTGAAATGAGTGAATGTGAAAAATATGACTGGATAACAAGTACAAACAAAATGAATAATCAGTCCAAACCGGTTAGATAGATCTCGTCGTGCACTATAAAATTTATATACAATTCGTGTTCTAATTTTTTACGGATCAAGAAATATATGTAATACAAAAATATCAATATAAACTAAGGTGGTTATCCATCTTCTTTTTTCTTTTTTTCTTTTTTGAAAAGTGAATGTAAAAAATATGATTGGATAAATCAAAATAGGTAATTAGTCCAAACCGCTTGGATAATCAGTATGAACACAACGGATACTCATTTTTCAGTTTATTCATTTCTGCCCATAAGATTTAAATGCATTTAAAGTTCAAAAGAAATATTCAACGTTGATCTTATCGGATAGATCTCGTCGAGCACTATAAATTTCATATATAAGTCGTGTTATAATTCTTTACAGATCAAAAGATATAAGAAACACAACAATATGAATGTAAAATAAGTTGGTTATCCGTCTTCTTAAACTGGATATCCAATGTGTTCATATTGATTATCCAACTTCTTTGTGTTAGTTATCCAATATTTTTTTTCCTTGCTCTTTTATGAAAATGATTGTCAAACTTTTTTGTACTGATTATCCAACGTGTTGCACTGATTATCCAATTATTTTCTATTGATTATCCAAATTGTTTGCAATATTTATCCAATCATTTTTTTCTTTCTTTCTTTTTTCTTTTTTGAATAGTGAATGTCAAAAATATGATTGGATAACAAGTACAAACAGAATGGATAATCAGTCCAAACCGGTTGGATAATCAGTAGGAACACAACGGATAACCATTTTTCTAAGAAAAACGAAAAACACATTTTTTCATTTCTGTCCGTAAAATTTAAATGCATTTAAAGTTCAAAAAAAATATATTCAACATGGATCTTATCGGATAGATTTCGTCGAGCACTATAAATTTCATGTATAATTCGTATTCTAATTCTTTACGGATCAAGAGATATATGG